GGAGAGACAAAGGACCGACAGGGTGGGGGGGGTTCTTTTAGGTCTTGCACACAAAGCAGGGTGCTGTTACTTTAGCCGAGGTGAATTTCAAACCCGGTGAAATTAAAACCGCTGAATGCTTCTGGCCAGCTTTTTGTTCTAGCCTTAGGCCTGCAGCGTTGTTACATCGCCTTACTAAGCTGTTGGTTACCATCAAAGCCTCGCTCAGCAAGTATTCACACAGTGCATACTCATTGCCACTTAACCCAGCTCACTTAAAATCCTTTCAGCAAGTTATTGTTCCACACAGGACAGACTTAAGAACGTACATTTGAGTAGTTATTGTGACTGGGACATCATATTGGCAATTACATCAAAAAAAAAAAAAAAGGCCAAAAGAACTGAAACACTTTAGAACAAACTCGGCTGATGCTGGGCAGTACCTGCAGATCATTTTCTGCCTGTTACTCTGTGTCAGGTGGTGGTAAGACAGCTTTAAATGTCTTCAATTCTCTTTCTTCAGAACGCGATCTCAGCATTGCACTGGTCACCTCTTGTGAAAGATCTGATTATATCCGGTGATGAAAAAGGTGTAATTGTTTGTTACTGGCACAACAGAAGCGACAGCCAGCAGTTCTTCCCAGAGCCTCGGACAATTTTTTGTCTCACTTGTTCTCCTCATCATGAAAACCAAGTGGCGATTGGGTAAATATTCACGATGTTTTGTTTTTCATTCAAGAACCTTATTGTGAATTTTTGCTACACAGTTGTAAGGTTAATTTTAAGAGGTTCTGGTGGCTGTTCTTTTCTTCTGATATATAAGAAATTAGAAACAACGTTTAGAATTCATAGATCTGCAAGACACAGAAATCCATAGCAATGAAATTGTTCAGGTTTGGTTTGATTCTTTGAAGTTTCTTAAAACTGTTTTTTTTTTTTAATTAGCCTTGACTGAAAGCTGTATTACTAATGAATTGCTGTCATTCTTGAAACCAAATGTACTGCTTGCACTTCTTGAAGAGGCAGCTGCAGGGATGCCAGTGCTATACTGGAGCTCCCATTGACCATTAGCCTGCTAGTCCCATTGCTGCTTGGGATTTGGCTTCTCTGTCTGCGATACAGTGATAGCAATCCTGGTAAAGAGCTTGAAAACAGAGTCAGATATTATTCCACAAGGGTCTGAGAAGGTCTTCATTAATTTAGATCTCTCTCTTTAGCTACAAGGATGGCATGGTGGTTATAATTGATATCAGCAGGAACGATGAAATACATTGTCTGGCCTGGTGCCCCGTGCCTGGTGAAGAAAGGTTACCTCCTTGGCAAGATGAGCTCCAAGGTATGTAAAAGTGATTAATAGTTTGTGAAGGGACTGTTAGTTCATGTAAATGTACTTCTAGAGAATGGAATTCCTTATAGAAAGTCAGTAAGTAAGTAAGCCAAGGCACCTGATAATTTCAGTAAAGTATGTTCTGATACAAATCAATATATTTTCAGTTAATTTTTATAAAGCTTTGAATTTTAAAGTATAATAACATGCCTTCATTGGTATTCAGCAGCTCCTTCAGAGGAAGGCAAAGTTCCAAATGGGGAGCTAACGCAGGATACAACCATGAAGAAAGGTTGTTACCTGGCTTCAGGAAGCAAAGATCAGACCATACGAATATGGAGCTGTACTAGAGGCAGAAGTAAGTAAGATTAATAATGTCAGATAAACAATAACAATGTGGTGGAAGAGTTCTCTAACTGCAGCCTTCGTTTGATAACTTGGTCATTTAAAGCATGGGGCACGTACTTAAAGGTTCAGATTCACAGACTTGTTTTTCCTCTCAGAATTTTGATGTAGTAGGTCTGGGTGATCCCTCTTGGTTCCCTAGGTGTAATGACTTTGAAGTTGCCACCCACAAAGAGAAGAGGTGGAGCCGTTGATCCTGCTGTTAAAGAGCGCATTTGGTTGACTGTTCACTGGCCTTCTGGTCGTTCCACAGAAATTGTATCCAGCTGTTTTGGGTGAGTAGGACACACAGCAGCCTGGGTACTGTCAGTAACTGGAGATTCATCTCTTGATGCTTCAGGAAGAACTGGGGTAGAAAATATTGACACCTCCTTCCTTCACAGTATAACTGGAGAGAAGACAGACCAAGAATTAAAGTGGGAGTTCAGACTTCTAGAAAACTAGTAGTTTTCCCATCATTTGTCTGATAATCTAATGGAGTATTGACTGCTAATGTACTAATTGTGATTTTGCCCATCTACTGGGAGAAAATGACACATCAGTTTTCAGGGTGGTTAACTATAGATATCATTTGTAGGGTGGTGTTTGCGTGTGTGCATCTGTATAGGTACACGTAGTGGACATGCATCTAGCTGTATTACTCTTGCACCTGCAGTATGTATACATGTAATGCAGTCTATATATAGCCTATATTATTATTCTGAAGTGAACAATGAAGTACACACTTCAAATTTTGCAGAGGAGAACTGCTACTCTGGGATTTGACACAATCTGGAAAACGCAAGTGGACACTTCTAGGATCTTCAGAAGGACAAAACCACTCCCGCATTGTCTTCAATCTGTGTTCTGTGAAGCATCAAGACAAAGAGCTCCTTTTTTCCATTTCAATGGACAGAGATGTAAGAACCATTTATAAAATTAGCATAAAAATAGCAGTACCTATACAGTGTAACTGAGCAAGGCTACCCCTTTTAGGGCCACAAATTTTCTCTTGAAGTGGGTTTATTGCAGCGTTTTATAAGACCATTGCTTAAAATTTGTTCTGAGCACAGGTTGTGTAGATTTTTTTTTTTACAGGCAGCAGAGCACATCCTATTTTGAAGTCAGAAGAGGACCATAATATTAAAGTATAGACATTTCGTCCATTTCATTACAGCCCTGTCGTGACATGTGACCCTCTGGGTGCAGGTCCCATACTATGTCAAGCCTTGAATTTGACCCTTTGTTTTTTCATCTCACTCATGCTTTGTTTTTCCTTGTCATACAGTCACTCTACATTTAACCATTCCTTGTTCCTTACATTTTCTTCAGGTGAAGTGCTGGGACCTATCAAGTCTCGATTGTAGCTGGACCATGCCCTCGCTTGGGGGATTTGTGTATAGTCTTGCCTTCTCCCCTGTGGACACAGGCTGTCTTGCCATCGGTGTTGGAGACAGCATGATCCGGGTGTGGAACACTTTGTCCATGAACAATATTTATGATGTTAAAACCTTCTGGCAAAGCATAAAGTCCAAGGTTACAGCAGTAAGTGTGCTTTTGATTCCCTTCTTTTTTCCTTGTTTTATCTCCATCTCTTCTTTTAGCTCCTTTTTTTTTCTTTCAAGAATATTTCTCTTTCACTCTGAAGGTTTTTCCCAACTACAAATACATAAAGCCAAGTTGTTCCTTTTGTACTCAATTTGTTTGGTATATAATACATTTTAGAATCTGGCAACAAATTTTTAGACCTTTTTACAGCCTTAGATGCTTGCGTTACATCTCTTGAAAATCAGCTGAAGTCCAGCTGGCTGTTACATTAGTTTTTCCCTTTTATCCTCCTTTGTGATCCTTCCTTGCTTCATCTGTGGTTTTGCTAGGAAGTTTGACATGCACAAAAACGAACATGGATATATTCTGTTTGGGTTGCCCAGAGGCTACTGCCTGGTAAAGTTGCTGGCAGCAGTAAAACATGGTAGTTCTTCTTGTTCACACCAAACATTTTCTCACCATCCTACAATATTCTCCATTTTACTTTGTAATGTAGATGTCAAATAGTATTTTAATGATTTTAGTCGCTTTCTTATCCCACAGTAGCTGGTAGGGCTTTGATCCTCGTAGTGGAGTCATCAAATCAAGTGGCTGTAGTTGGAAGGGTGGGTATAAGGGATGGTGCTTGTTCATCAGTTTCAGTGTTCTCCTGTTGTTTATTATTTGAAATAAAATGTCTGTAGCTTGTGTCATTGTGGGTGTCTTTGTATTTTGTCTGCAGTTGTCCTGGCATCCAACTAAGGAAGGCTGCTTGGCTTTTGGAACAGATGATGGAAAAGTTGGCATATTTGACACCTTCTCCAGCAAGTAAGAAAGTAGCTTTCAAATTCATTAGTGTCAGAGCCTGATGGTATGTTACCATGCATACGTGGTGTGGTCTTTCCTGAGGTATATCTTTACTGCTAGACAAGAGTAGGATTAAATTATAAGTAGTCAACAGTTGGATTTTCAGTGCATCTTTTCATCTCTCCGTTATGTTTTGTGGCTTCTAAGGTAATCTTTACTTAAGGTAAACTTAAAATTGCATGACTTGTGGGAGGACATCAGTCAAGGAAAACTTTAGCCAGAAAGGCATTTTTAGAGAATGAAGA